AAAAAAAAAAAAAAAAAAAAAAAAAAAAAAAAAAAAAAAAAAAAAAAAAAAAAAAAAAAAAAAACACTTTGTGACAGAGAAAACAAACGTCATCGATTGCACTTCTTGAAGTGAGACTTATATATGGCACATTACATATCCATATCCCAAATGGGAGAGTAGTACGGTGATCATCCGCAACGTCAAGAAGAAACGCAACAACTCTTCACGGTACTCTTGCTGAACCTTCTCACGAACTTTGCTACGAACTTTCTACGAACTTTCAACGACCTCTCTACGAAGCTGCCGCCGCTGGAGCTGGCGGCGCCGCTGCCGACAGCTGGAGTGCCTTCAATGGATTACTGATCACCTGGTCAATCAATCCGTACTCAACTGCCTCCTTGGCGCTCATGAAGAAGTCGCGATCCGTATCTTGGACGATCTTCTCTAGGGGTTGGCCCGTATGGTACGCCAAGTACCCGTTCAAATTGGCTTTATGGTGAAGAATTTCATTCGCCTGCAAAACAAAAAACAAAAAAAAAGCAAAAAAAACAACAACAAAAAAGCGAAACACATAAATCATCGGGAAACCGAGTGTGTCGTCAAGTTCGGTATACACAAACTCCTCAAGGAACTCATGAGAGTGTGCGAGACGTGTTTTGTTTCGCCCGACTTTCAACGACTCATCAAGCTGTGGGACCACAACGCGGACAGTCTGCCCACAATGCACTCGACTGATAGATAAGGACTCGACACGTGGGCACAAATGGAATGACACATGGGCACAAACGGACAAAAGCACAAGTGGACAAACAGGCTGACGCAGGGGCAAATGGACAAAAGCACAAATGAACACACGGGCTGACACAGGGGCAAACGGACAAAAGCACAAACGGACAAACGGACAAACGGGCAAGAGCACAGATGGGCAAACGAACTGAAACATGAGCAAATGGGAAATGGGCAACCAACAGCCCTATAGCCCAGTTGGCACACCCATCCATGAACTGGTGAAATACAGACCCAAGTTCGAATCCATTTGCGATCAGATAGAAAAGAATGCAATAGATCGGAATTACCTGGGGCCAGTCGGTTCCATGATGGAATCTCAAGGCCATCACCCTTTGTAAGGAAAGGGGGGGAAAAAAAAAGAAATGGGCAAATGGGCAAATGGGCAAACTGACAGACAGGTGGACGAAAGTACAACAGGACCAGCAGATGAAAAGGTGGCCAAACAAAATGGACAGATGCACAAACAGAGAGGCAGACAGATCGGGCAGGGAAGCGAGAGAGAGAGAGAGAGAGAGAGAGAGAGAGAGAGAGAGAGGGAGGTGGTCAACGAAGAGGATGGACGGATGGGGGATGCCGACGAACAGATGAGAAGATGGAACAACCACCGGGCTAAACAGGAAAGATCAGACGGTAGAGAGAAAAGGCAGACAGCAACAAACACAGATAGCAGGACAGAAAGGCAGCTGGAGAGAACAGGATGCAGGAAGGGGTTGAAGGGGGGGGGGGGGGGGGGGGGGGATAAAGGAGGATGAACAGATGGAGAAAAAAGATATGAAGGGCGGTTGGAAACAACAGATGGTAGTGGGCCAACACGCCACAGGGCACAGGGGTAGGTGCCCGGCTTTAAGAGTCAACGCATCGATTGACTGCCACAGATGGAAATAGGGGGGTGGGGCTGAGGGTGGGCGGAGATGAACGGATGGACGGGTGAATTGGCGATAACGTGACAGAAGCGCGGAGGGTGGAGCGCGGGACAGGGTGGAAATAGTGATGGGAAGGATATGTGAAAGCACCTGCCTTGTGGCTGAATACTATAAGCATGTAAGGGCATACTCAAACAAGGACTTTCCTAAACGTATCTGACGGCAATTACGGCCTGACCTGGATAAATCTGACAGCGATCGCATCGAGAGATATCTAGAGAAGTCCTTGTGTGTGTATGCCGTACTATGCCCTAAATGTCCATAAATAGGCCGTGACTCTAGAACTTGAATCCTGCTGACAAAAACAATTGTTAGCCGTGATCCGAAAACTTTGTGCAAAAAAAAAAAAAAAAAAGGTTAGTCCTTTAATAACTTAGTAGCAAAACAAAAAGAAGCTAAGCCGGACATTATGCGAAAAAGGTGAACAATTCCATGCAATGGAGAGAACCGTGCTTTGTATAAGACGCCAGTTTTCGGGGTATAAGTTAACACCTTCCTCTACCCCCCCTCACGCCTTTCCTTACCCCCTCCTCCCCCTTCTAATTTCCTCCCGTCCCCCCCCCCCCCCCCCCCCCCCCCCCCCCCCCCCCCCCCCCCGCCCCCCCCCCCCCCCCCCCCCCCCGCCCCCCCCCTCCTTGCGGTGCCTGTTGGCCATCTGGCCAGCAGTCATGAGACAACAAACCTGGATTTCAATATCTGTCTGCTGTCCTTGAGCACCTCCCAGCGGTTGATGAATCATGATCCTAGAGTTTGGTAGGCTGTACCGCTTGCCTGCAAGAGAAAGAGGGGGAAAATAAAATAAAATCGAAATAAAGCAGAAAAGGACCACACGAAGAAAATTGGAAGTTTAATATGGCATCCAAGGAAAAAGTTGAAAAACGTAGAAAGAAAATGAATAAAAAAAAAGGTCAAAAACTGACAAAAAAGTGCTACAAAGTGAAAACAAGCAGAATCAGCAGATATATAATAATAACTTAAGTAAAAGAACGTGGTAAGCTTTCAACAAAAAAAAAAAAAAAAAAAAAAAAGTGAGAGGTGGTCAGCTTCTGAGTGTGTAAGTACATATACTAATGATCTAGTGTACCATCCTCCTTGAACGACCAGTCCATCCACAGATGGCACTAAAATTAGGGAAAAACAAAAGAAAAGATTAAAAAAAAAAAAGGAGCCCATCTGCACTTTGTACACGCGACAAGAATGTTTTTTTTTTTCCCTTCTTTATGTTTTTGATTTTTATCTCAAAATCTGTTGAGAATGTGACTTTTGTGTCTGCGGCAAAAGTTGTTCAGAATAATATCTTCTATGAAGTTCTATCCATACATGCAAGCGCACGTCGTGCGGGCGGTTCCCTACGTGCGGCGCACCCGCCCAACCGATCCCGTGTGGCGCACGACGTGTGCGGAGAACGACCCCTCACCCCCCTCAGAAGAAAAAAAAAGGCTGGGGTCGAGAAGGTGCATTTGAGGCCCCCCGCCAAAATTATAAGCGAGATGAAAAAAGAATTTACAGGAGTACTGCCTCACCTTGCTCCTCCTCCCCTTCCTCCTCCTCCATGTCTCCTCCTCCCTTCTCCTTTTCATTTCCCCCTCCTCCTCCTCCTCCTCCTCCTCCTCCTGCCCTTCCTCATCCTCCTTGTCTCCTCATCCTCCTTGTCTCCTCCTCATCTTCCATGCCTCCTCGTCTCCTTCCCTTCCTCGTGTCCTCCCCTTCCTCATGTCCTCCCCTTCCTCGTGTCCTCCCCTTCCTCACCGTCCATGTCTCCTCCTCCTTCCACTCGTCCTCCTCCTCCTGCCCTTCCTCTTTTCCCTCCGTCCATCTCTTCTCCTCCCCCATCTTGACTCCTCCTCCTTGTCGTCCTTGCTATCCTCGTCGTCCTCCTCGTCCACATCCTCCTCCTCCTCTCCATATCCCCCTCTCCTCGCCATATCCCCATCTTCCTGTCATACGCCCCCCATTCCCCTTCCCAAAAAAGATAAAATAATAAAAGTAAAAGACCTGCACGATTACGCACAGGCACCCCCAGCACGGAACTCCGCACGGAACTCCGCATGGAACTCCGCATGGAACTCCGCACGAATGTGCGGCTCGTGCGGTTGCAAGTATGGTTCTATCACATTTATTTTTTCCCATATCTTTCTCTGATAACTTTTTTTTTTTTTT